AGTCTCTCCGTCTAGATGATTCACAAATTATGAAACCTCTTGATTCAGAAGTTAACAGTATCTCTGAAATTAATTCTCTTTTCTCTTTCACCTATTACATAAAAGGTATACAGTACTGAATAAATAACGTTAAAACAATTAAAACATTTAAAATTATTTAAGAACTATGCCAAAAAAAAGATTTTTTTTCAATTCACATATTTTTTTACTTACTGCAATAAGCAAAGACACATTCTAACAAATATATCAAACACAAATATATCCTAAAAACATCGAAATTTTTATTTAATTATAATCTTATCATATTTCTGAGAACTTCGATAAATTTAATGTAGGTATAATTTCTTGCAAGTTTAATCTTACAACACTTATTTGTTGTAGCACCTTCTATATTGCGTATGCTACACCATACAGTGGGTGATGAAATTTTTCAAAAAGGAATTAAAGCGTATATGAAAAGAGAGTAAGTATTTTCATGTCTTGTATCTTTCATCTCCTTTTTGTCAAATGAATAATTGTTTATTTTAATTTCTTCGATATATGATGTAAGGTTATATGTAAATAATAGTTTACTATATTCTTTGCAATTTTTGCGATGTACAACAACTATGTTGCTAGATATAACATTTTTTTTGTCAAATACTTTCTTACTTCTATATAAGAAATAAGAAAAAATTTAAATGTGCGTTAACATAAAAAAAAGATATTGTATGTCAAAAAAATTTGCCATTCAGAATCAAAGACTAATTAACAATAAAATTTAATGTAATTATTTTTCGAATATATCATTACATGTAATTTTTGTTTGTAGAAGATAGTGATAAAAATTGAAAACATTTTTATTATAAAATTTATTTATCTGTCATTCAATTATCCCAATTAAAATCCGTGCAATCGATATTGAAACTTTACAACTTATATTGCAATTTTGAGCAAATAAAATCACGAGCATCTACCTCGCAAGAACTAAACTGAGCGAATAATGCAAATTATGTGTGTTTTTCGATAATTATAAAATTTGTATAGATGATTTGTGTTTATGCTGTATATCGAGAAAATCATGTTTGTCTGCTGATATTGTCTTTATCATAGTATATACATCGCGAATAAAAAATTTTTATACATCATTTTTATACATTTTTGTAAGGATGGGTAGTCTGGATGATTTTTTGATTGTAATGCAATCTAGTCTATGATTCACAAACTATGGA